GGGGGGTGTTAGGGAGGGCTTACGAATTCAGACCGGTCTACCATGGGCGCAATGATGTACTTCGGACTGCCGATGCTCTTGTAAAAGTCCCGTCCGAGAAGCTTCGTCTTCGGTTCGGATGTGAGGGTGGTTGGCGCATTTTGGTCGGCGGCGCTGTTCTGCGGCGCGGGCGCCGTCTCGGAAGTTGCCATTGTCAGCGGGGTGGGACGCAGCGTTGTAGAGAGGTTTCGCCCCAGCCAAGGGGGAAGAAGTCGTAGGAGCTTTATTTTGAGGATTGAACAGTAGCAGGCTCGGATGTATATAGTGGATCACACTTCAGTCGTAAGTGAGACGCATACAATCGAGACGAGATAGCGACCTGGGGTACAAGAGCGGATGGCGGGCATCTTTTTTCCACCGATAATTTATCTCGGGGCGGAACAAGGTTGATCCTCTTATCTTATCCAGCGACATGAACCAAATTGACGTATCACTTTTTAGGCGACCTGCATGATTACATCGTCAAAATAGGCTTCCTTACTTCTCGGACAATGTTGAGCAAGGTGGTCAGGAACCTGCCTAGCAACTGATCTCGGTAACACTTCTTGCTCTTGTGTGAATGTGTCAGTCATGCCTAAAGCAAGGCAACGATGCTAGAGCTTACATAATCCAATAACGAGGCTTTAGCGCTTTTCCGCGAGTGGGTTTATGTTTGGGGAGAAACCTTCGATATGTTCATCAAAGAAACTTCGGCAGTATCGAGCGCGAAGAGCTAAGGTCGGCAGATGGTAGTATGCCCAGGGTCTAGGGAGTCAATTCAAGTCCCCAGATATCTGCACCCTGGTTCAAAGCTTTCAGACTCTACTGATTTACGGATTATCAACAATGGACGCCGCAGGGGCGGGTGGTAAGTTGAGGCATAAACCCCGGCAACCACTTTATACTGATTGCTATAGTATCCCCTTTCATCGCATTCTCTGAGGATGGTGACTATGTGGCACAGCTGAATGGCAGAGAATTGGCGGTCCATCTCAACCCCACTTCCTCAGATTTCAAGGAAGTGCAAGTTGTGAGGCTCAAAGAGAATGCCTCGAAATCCCTCAAATTCTCCCGCTCCAAGCCTGTCTTGCCATCAAGCACACATTCCTACGGGGGGGTGAGTCTCCCGGAGAGACGCCTGCTGTGTGCCAGTGACACCCGTGTCTCCGTCTGGCGGTTGAATTCGTTGCAGCTGCACGCGGAGATCGAGAGCATCGAGCCCGGAGCCACCTACATCGACTTCGGCGGCAACGAGAATGAAATCATCTACTTCCACGCGTGGAACACTAAGATCACCATTTTTGGGCTGGACACCGGCCGCAGCCAGATCATCAAAGCGCCCAAGTTCTCGACTACCAATGGTTTCGGGTACCGACCGAAAACAAGGCAGCTGGCGGTCCTCCTCAAGCCAGATGCTGCTGACCTCCTGACGATTCACGAGTTCGAGTCGTACGAGCTGATCAGCCGGGCAAATTTGCCGACGGTGGATGCTCAGGGTCTGAAGTGGAGTCCGGATGGGAGGTGGATCGCCGTGTGGGATGCTGCAAGTGCGGGCACGAGAGTCCTCATCTTCACGGCCGACGGGCAGCTTTTCCGAACGTATACGGGCCTACCAGGATCGGACACCTCTTTTGATTTGGGTGTTCGAAGTATCGAGTGGAGTCCGGTTTCAAGTGCACGCGGAGTCTCTGAGGTTCTGGCTGTCGGGAAGATGGATGGATCTGTGGATCTTTTGAAAAGTACAACTGTAAGGCTTACCCTGTGGTCAACTACCTGGGTTGGCATGCTGACCAAGCCAGTTTTCCTGCTCTACGACTCTTTCGCACGTGTTCCAGATTGAACAGAACTCGCCCAGTATCTGGAGAGAGCGACCGACTGAAGACGGAACGCTGGAGTATGCTGAGGCGTCAAGCTCTTCGGCGTTTGGTGCCAACGCGGAAGTCTCTGGCCCGCCCCGTGGTGTAATGATTATGGCGTTCAGTGCTAGTGGCGCGCTTCTCAGCACTGTCGACCAAACACGGCCAAACATTGTCTGGATCTGGGACTTGGAGTCCACGCCGGTCCTGCTGTCTGCTCTGGTCCACGAACACAACGTCAGGCAAGTGGTATGGCACCCTACCAAGTCACAACTACTCATCACCACTGCGAATCCCGGATACTCTGCCGTCCGCTACTGGTCACCCTATAGTCAGCCTCTCTCAGTTCGCATACCTATCCCTCGAACTGAGACCGGCAAGTACGATGCGAGATGGATGGCGATAGATGAAGATGAGGACTCAAGGTTTTGGTTCGGTACACCGGAGGACTATGTGCTTGGCTACATTGAAGGGGTTGATGAAGAGCCACAGTTTCATGTCCTTCATACAATCCGCGGCAAGCTCGCCTCGAGAGGCTCTGGTCCGTCGGCGAGCCGCTGATCCGGATGGATGGACATTCGGACTTATGGCGTGATGATCTATGCTTTACGAGACTGTGTTCGGCTTTCTGAGCGACTGAGCGACTTTTGGAAAGTGGTCGAACTTGACGTGTTCTAGTATTTGAAGCATTGTATAGTTAGTATCTAATCGTTATCATACGGAACGTCTAATTGCGCATGGTCTGTGGGACTAGTAGTTATGACTTGATGTTTCCAGCTTGGCCAGCAGTGCAAGATGAGCGGTGAATAAACCAGACATCTTAAACCCAGACCATCCTGCCATAACATAGAAGTGGTTTAGGTATCTACATCATACTGCCAAGAACAATCTAGATAGTAGATGAGGCCAGAGCCAGTCTTCCCGCAGCCAATGGCAGCGGCTCCCCTGGCCATCGCAGCTAACCGAGGGCGGCGGCCGCCCGTCCAGGGTTTAGGGTTAGAGCCCACGTGACGCTGAGTCATCCCCCACTCGAATTTCGCACTTGGGCACTCAAGTTTCCGACCGTTCGCTCTGTTGTGCAGCTCTCCTCCGTCGAACAGCTACATCAGATCGTCAAAATGGTGAGTTGGACTGCGCGCCTGCGACTTGGTATATTGAGTCGCAGGAACCTCTGCGATATCATATTCAAAGATGAAATACTAATACTCTTTTCACCAGGCTCCTACCAGAAAGAAGTGGTCCAAGGGCAAGGGTACGCTATCATCATCTCTCCCCCGTTCCTCAAGCACATCTCTCCTCTCTCTGATCCGATGGAAAAGAATGGTCGCCGGTCGCCTAGATTCGACATGAAGAAGGGAAAGAAAAGAAAGGCTTTCGACGACAGTGAGGGCGACGGAACGACGATGAGAAGGATGCAGCATCAGGCACAACGCAAACCTGACTCGAGCACAAGAAAACTGACTTGATTTTCCTCCGGACTATAGTTAAGGACAAGGCCCAGCACGCCGTCGTCCTTGAGAAGCAGGTCGCCGAGCGCCTCAACAAGGATGTCCAGTCCTACCGTCTGATCACTGTTGCCACCCTGGTCGACCGTCTCAAGATCAACGGCAGCTTGGCCCGCCAGTGCCTTGCTGACCTCGAGGAGAAGGGCCAGATCAAGAAGGTTGTCAGCCACTCCAAGATGACCGTCTACAGTATGTTCCACCCCCCTGGGTTTCTTCGTTTGATATTCTTTATGAGGGTAAATGCTGACGGCGACTTTCTTTGTTCTAGCCCGCGCCGTCACCGCCGAGTAAATGTCTTGACGCTATGAAATGAATTCCTCGCGCGTCCTGTTTTTACTTTTCAAAGTGTGTGTGTACTACGAATGATATCAACCCTATCAAAGCGGATTTGAAGAAATGAAAATCTTTGTGTGGACGAAACAAGACATCGCGATTGGCTCTCGACGGGGAAAGTGATTTGCATAGTCGTCAGGTAATACTGACTACTTGAAAATCAATTTCGAAATCCAAAACAACCAAAAAAAATGATCTGTTCCAAATATCTGTTCTCTGGTCGTAGGGTGATATGCGTTGGGTCTGGATTGAATATGCGTAGGATTACGTATCGGCAACTACTTTAGCGACTGCACGACACGACCACCAATATTATTGATACTATGCATGCACAACCTAGAATGGCGGCAAAACTCCCTACTACATCAACTTATACGACCCAACCAAAATCACCTCTTCCCAGCAGCCTGCGCCTCAAGCACCTGCTTCCTCGTCGGCCTCTGCTGCCTCGCCGCCTTACACAACTCCCTCGTAGCACCGTGACCCTCCTTATTGTTGGATGCAGCCACCTCCTCCAAACCCACCACCCTCCCCACCTCAAAATACCGCTTATGATTCCGGAAGAACCCCTGCCAGTGCGCGACGGCGCGGTCGATGCGGCCCCGGGCGTAGCGGACATCCTGCTCGTGGCGCTTCTTCCGCTCCCCGGAGGGGAGGGCGGCCAGCTCGGCGGGGTCGTCGATGGGCATGAACATCTCCTCGACGCCCGTCAGGTCCGAGGTCAGGTCCTCCTGGAAGCAGCCCGTCACGAAGGCGCGGGTGGCGTCCCGGCCCACGAAGAAGTTGTAGTGGCCGCCGGGTCCGTAGACGAGCGGGTTGGCGCTGACGTCGAAGATGGTGCCGTTCACGCTCAGGTACAGGGGCAGGGTCGGGTCGGTGCCGTTGTAGAGGGCCAGTTGGGCGGGGGTTAGGGTGAGGGGGCCTTGCTGTTTCTCTGCTGTCAGTATTCGGGTTGATAGGGGTGGAAGGGGAAGAATGGGTTGAGCGGGTTGGGGGATCCGCACCAAGAAGCGCATGAGCACGGGGAGTCGTGTAAACCATGGGCGGTAGCCCCAAAGTAAGGATTCCGAGGAGGTCATGTAGTAGGACAGACCGCATGAGGCGATCACCAGCGTGGCCAGCACGCGGATGATGTCGAGGATGCTGATGCCGCGGGCATTTTGGCTGCTGCTGGAGGATTTCTTGTTGCTGCTGTTGTTGCTCCCGGCTTTGGTGGTGCTCTTGTTATTGTTGGGTTTCTGGCGTTGGCGGACTTCGGACATCGTGGCTGTGGTGGTCGGTCTTCGCCGGAGGTTCTGTTTTAGGTAGGTGTACTGGATGGGAAAGGTGATTTATTGACCCGATGCCATTGAAACTCTGTCCCAGAAGAGAGAGGTCGATCATACAAGAAATCGGGTGTGGCGATAGTAGGATGTCGAAAGGGAAGAGCCACTTTTTATCTTATGATTTTCAAGGTTATGACAGGTGGTTTCCAGTTTGGCGGGAGGTTTTCCGCACTCGCCGTTTGGGTTTGTTTCCACCCCCGCCAATGGTGTGACTAGGGAAATTGCCAGTACCACTTCGGCCACTACTTTTATGCCCATTAATAATGCATTTTAAAAGGGCCAGGTTTTACTGGAAGGAAAGTATCAGTCATCGCATGTCCGCAAAGGGGAACTCCTGGCGTAAGCCCGCCGGCGTAGTACTTATTCGTATTCGGAAACATATATGAGGCCGGGTACTGGCAAAAGTGGTTCTAATCTTAATTGCCTTCAGCTTTCGGACCCCTCGAGAGGATGCCTTCGTTGTATAATTGATTCCACAATGAGGTTACTAATTATGTCTAGGGCTGTAAGCCCAAAGTGATCACTGCCGGAGGTTCACTTCACCAAATTTACTTTACAGAAGCCGGGTGTTGACCTGGCATCTAGGTACTCATGAACAATCCACCAAGAGGCCACAAGCACGAGTCAGGTGTAGACGACATAACATAGATACAGACATATCGGCTATGGCCATAATCCAGCATCAAACACAGCCCCAATCCAAATAATCAAGTTATACTTGCTCCTGCTCCTGCTCCTGCTCCCAGCTGCGCGAGAACACATCGTTGAGGGCTTCTTGGAAGGTCCGGCAGTTCATATCAATAAGACCCTTTTTGCTCTTGGACTCTGGATTGCGAATCACCGAAACCAGGCACAAGTATCTAGCAGATGTTAGTAACTACCGCCTTATTTCTTGTCAAGGATTTGGGTAACATACTTGTTCATCTCCATCAAATGTATCATTGTTTCATCATGCAGTACCACATGGCTCTCAGCTTCTTGATTTTGCTCACCCTTGGCTTTGCGATCCGGATGGTCCCAGGAATACAGCTCGGAGATATCCACAATCACATCGATGTAATCCGAGCACATCTCGTAGCATGACATATCAACGGGACGAGTGTCGGATGCGATATAGATCTTGCTCAAGACATCGAACAGGTAAGTCTTCTCGAAGCCACAGTTGTTGGCAAGCGTGTTGATCAAGTTCTCCAGAGTCGAAAGATTGGGAATGAGCTTCTGAATGACTTTACTGAAAGCCTCAAAGACAGAATAGTCGTAGATAGAGGTTAGGTAGTAGTGAACCGGAGCATTTTCATATCCGGCATCGCTTAGCTCGTCGGAGATCAGCTGTACAATGTCTTGGAAGGTGTCTGTGCGGTACTCGTCAGAAAGTCCGTCCACTTTGTGGATGAAGACTTCAATATTGATGTTGGGATAGTACTGCTGCACGGTCAAGATGGTGCGGTTGAGACGTGCAACGGAGTCCAGGTAGTCATCCTGAGCATCAATGACCCAAACAAGTGCTCCAAGACTCCCGAAAATATTCTCGAGGTCGAAAGATGGCTCCAGATACTCGAGCTGACCTGGAAAGTCCCAGACCTGGAAATCCATGAAGGAGCTTGTGAGCGTGTCAGCGGAATCAGAGTATGCACCCAATTAGTCGCTTACTGGATCGAATCTTTTTGTATCCGAGTGGTCGACTCAAGGAATAGCGTTTCATTAGGCGGCATCTTGTGGAACACAACGCTTGCAATGGAAGATTTGCCGCTCCTGGAGAGAATTAGGGTTCGTGGCTATGATAATCTACAGAAAATTGGCACCCACCGACGGAGACCCATTAGCATCAGACGAGGCTTAGCATCTTGCGGTTTACTTGTTGAAAGCTGGCCATTCTTGGCCTGGACCTGTTCAGGCAAGAATTGGCTAGTACCCTGCAACAGATGGTATTAGCCGGATGATTCAAGACGAATTATATGAAAACATGATGCGAAGACGTTTCTGAGCCAGGCAAGAGCCATAAGAACCACAAGCCAAGGATGCAAAGAAGACAGCAATGACCTTAAACCATTGAGCCACCACACCACGGTCACATTAGATGCCATCTGGAATTGCGCAGGTCACGTGCTTCCATCTGACAGTCACACAGCAAGACAGCACTCCGAGCAGTCAAGATTCTCTCCCTGACTACTCAGCTATGTGCTGACCCACACATGCGTAGGGCTTTGAAATATCACAGGAGAACATGAACCAATCGTGGAGCACGAAGTCAAGCCAGGGATGATACTTCGAGACAGGGTAGAGAGAATGCTTGAAAAGAGAGCTCATACCTCCATACTGTAGCAGCCGTTATCAATGGCTGATTAATGGGATGGATTACTGTATAGATAGTTAGACCAACTTCCAGGTCAAATATTGTACATCAAGCGAGGAAAGGAGTGTCGATCTAAACCCACCACAATTGAGTCGATAGCCAAGGCGGAGAAGCGGTAGATAAATCAGCCAAGTATTTACTTATGTCTGTCACAGGTGAGAAGATGGGATCGGGGCAATCCATGCATCTAACGAGTCCAAGTGCGCGTGTACAGCCAATAAACCTGAATTCGGACTTGTAGCTGGTCAGGTGACGACAGAGACTATAAAGTGTAGACTGAACACGTCGAAAGTGATATATGCAAAAGAAAAGCGAAATTTCAGCAGTTGATGATAGCCATGATTGGCGCAATGGTTCAGTAGAATAGAAGAAGGCAAGAGGAGATCACAGCGGAGAGGTCAGTTGAATCCACCATCCGGCAGCGGATAGTATAAGCGGGCTGTGCTGTGCTTGGGATGCAACGAGTGTCGCGTGTGTAGTCTTAGATGAGTCTTAGCAAGTATATCACTTCGTGTTCTCGGGGAATCTACTCGAACAAATGTTCTGGATGCTCAGAGCAGCAGCGGGGTATATCAGCGAGGTGAAGCAGATGGGTTAATGCCGAGCAGGAGCGAGCAATGGCAAAGAGACACCGGCGGTGGGTTGCATCGATAAGCCCGGCAGCACAACTTCACCTCACTCATTCTTGGGTTCTTGCCCATTGCTTCCGCCTTTCGTATCTCATACCGCCTTTGTTGCCGCCTTAACCGTTCTAAGTTAGCCCGTTGGTTGTTTGTGATGTTTGTTTCCACACAACACATGGCGGCAGCTTTATTGGTCGGGGCGGATCCGGCCGCCTTCATGCGTCATCACCGCCTCGGCCAACTCGCCGAGGCTGGACGATCCACTGCATCTGCAGCTGCTTTCATTCCCTTTATTCTCCCTCGCATTGCTCATTATTCCCATTGAGTTTGCGAGTTTGCGAGCTGAGTCGGGCACATCAGTGCTGTCTAGTAACTCGTCATGACTACCCTGAAACCTCGCGAGCCTTACTCCCAGGAGGAGTTGGAGCGCCTCTACCCCAGCGACTTGAAGCTTCAACTGGTCCAAGTAGTGAGTAGCACCCAAGCAATGCCTCAGACAGCGCCGGGAGACTAATAACGAGCCACAGTTCCTTCGTCATGGTAAGGACTTACCGTTGGATATGTACTCGATCAGGCAATTCACTAATTAACGTACAGGTGAACGAACGCCCGTGTCTTCGCGATTCCAAAACGCAGGACTCGCCCCATGTACGTCGACCTCCTGGAAAAAACAGTACCTCTTCTAGGAACAATTCAATTGACAATCTCTGTCCACCTTCGTATAGACTGGTCGTACTGCACCGTCGCGCGCCAGATGCTCCAGATGGCCGCGAGCAATAAGGACCTCACAACCTGGAACGGATTCCAATGGCGTCGGAAACACGAGTCCTTCGGCAGCAAGGATGAAACCGTCGCTGCAGTCGGCGCATCGGGTGAGGTGGACGGTATCTGGCAAGTGAGATCGGAATTAGGGTTGGGAAAGCTCTGCTGACCGTCTGGAACAGTCTACACGGCGAATTGACCGACAAGGGACGCGAGACAACCTATGCACTGGGCCAGCGCCTCCGCCATCTCTACGTCGACCAGCTCGGCTTCTTGCCCAAGATCAAATCTGACACTGAGGACATGTACCTCCGTGCGACACCCATTCCCCGTGCGCTCGAGTCCCTTCAACAAGCCTTCTGGGGCCTATATCCCCCCAATGCCCGCACCCAGGACTTCCCGCCCCCTGTGATCGTAGGACGATCCGTATCGGAAGAGACACTGTTCCCCAACGAGGGCAACTGCCGTCGCTTTAGACAACTCTCTCGACTATTCGCGGATAGGGCCGCACTCCGATGTACGTAACACTCTTCTTCCCTATACCGTTTCGTTGCCCGTCGATCACTCACCCTAGACACCAACAGGGAACGAAACCGACGAAATGGAGTACCTGAACAAGCTCTGGTCCAAATGGATGCCCGACACCTCCCCCCGCGTGGCCGTGGACTCCCACCCGCGCCTCTCCGGCATCATGGACACCGTCAATGCCACTGACGCCCACGGGCCCGCCACCCGCCTCCCCAAGGAGTTCTACGACACCAAAGCCCGCGAGTACATGGACCGCATCGCCGTGGACGAGTGGTACTCCGGCTACACCGACAGCGTGGAGTACCGCAAGCTGGGCATCGGCGCGCTGATGGGAGACGTCGTCGACCGCATGGTCAGCACGGCCGTCGCCCCCGGGGGCTGGCGCAGCGAGGCCGCCACCAACCACCGCCAAAGCCAAGCCATCAAGTTCGCAATGAGCGGCTGCCACGACACCACCCTTGCCGCCATCCTGAGTAGTGTCGGCGCCTTCGGAAACAGCAAATGGCCCCCCTTCACTTCTTCCGTGGCCATCGAACTCTTCTCCAAAGCCTCCGACAACGACAACACCACCACCACCACCAACGCCAGTGAGAGCGGAACCTCCTCCCTTCTCTCCCTCCTCCCCTCCTCCTCCACAAAGTCCCAAACGGAAACCGACCGCGTCCCCCTCGCCGCCCTCCCCGACTCCGCCCGCCAATCCCTCCGCACCCACTACGTCCGCATCCGCTACAACGACCGCATCGTCCGCGTCCCCGGCTGCGCCGCCAAGCCTGAGAACCACCTCCCCGGCGACGAGACCTTCTGCACGCTGGATGCCTTCAAGGAGATCGTCGACAAGTTCACGCCGCAGAACTGGGGCGAGGAGTGCATGCAGAACCTCGGGGAGGGGCTGTTCGGCAAGGATGACCGCGAGAAGGTACCCGCTGGGGTTTGAGAGACCAAAACGCAAAACTGAAAGGAAAACCCGTTCTTGGTGGGTCATATAGAGTTTTTATGGTAGTGGAGGTAGTTGTGTACATGAAGGAATTTTGCTTATCTTGATTGACCAGGTATGGTTGGAAATAGCAATAGAGGGAGGGGGGGGGTACCAAACACGCTCGAGTGTGTGTCTATATAGGGTGAAGAACTGGGTCCCGGAGGGTATAAATTAATGATTTTTGGCAAAGCTTCAAGAACTTCCCTACGTGCATGCTCTATCGGGGAAACTAGGAGTTGTGCGATAAGAGGTTGTCAACCGAGAGGAAGAAAAGAAGGCGACTAAAGCTCATGCGTAATCAATTGAAAACAATCCCGAACTTTTTTGTCTACTCAATTTACAATACTACATACAGGTGAACTATGTACAGTACACCCCCAACGAGACCTGGTATCTATAAGCATAACTGCTAATCTCGCCCCTTCGAAAGCCCAACCCATACTCAAGGAATAGCCGACCTCGGACCTGTAAACAAACACTCTTCGTGCACTGGATGGATGCCATAGCCCTAGGACTGACATTGGCACCTCCCACAACACCGCTCATGGCTCTCACTCGCTCTCACCCCCACCAGCACGCGACTTCGACCTCGAACGCGCCCGGGGCTTTTTGGCGTCCTTGTCCGTCTCGGAGGCTGAGGAGGCGGAAGCCTTGCCCGCACGTTTGGAAGGAGCTCTTCTAGGGCTGGTGGATCTTCTAGCTTTTCCCGCTTCGGTGTCCACCTCCATCTCATCAGCGGAGGAGGCGGAAGTCTTGCCGGCACGTTTGGCAGTAGCTCTTCTAGGGCTGCGAGATCTTCTGGCTTTTCCTGCTTCCGAGTCCACTTCCATCTCGTCGGCCGAGGAGGCGGAGGCGGAGGCTCTGGCAGCGCGTCTGGCAGCGCGCTTCTCAGCCCTTGCGGCTCTGCTGGCACTCATTTCAGCTCGTTCAGCGGCCCTTTCAGCTCGTTCATTGCTGGCATCCACAACCATCTCTATCTCGTCAGGCGAGGAGGCAAAAGCTTGGGCAGCGCGGTCGGCAGCATCTTTGGCAGCCCTAGCGGCCTTTCCAGCATCTTCAGCCTTGTCAGCAGCCGCTTCAGCTCTTTCAATGCTGCTATGCACATCTAGCTCTACCTTTTCGGCTGCGGCGATGGAAGCTTGGGCAGCGCGTTCGGCGGCATTTCTATGAGCCCTGGCGCCCTCTCGAGCCAATTGAGCCTTTGCAGCGGCGCGTTCGGCCTTTTCAATGCTGACATCAATCTCCGTCTTGTCGGCTGAGGAGGCTGAAGCCGTGAGAGCACGGTTGACAGCCTCCTCAACTCTTATCCCAACTCTTCTAATAATTCCAGGGTTTCTATCTTTCTGAGCTGTTCCAGCTTCTGCAACGACATCCATCTCATCAGCCGAGGAGACGGAAGCCTTGCGGGAACGGTCGGCAGCCATCTCAACTCCTTCGATTCCTTCAGCTTTCCCATCCTTTCTGTTCTTTCCAGCCTCTCCAGATGTTCCGGCCTCTCCAGATGTTCCGGCCTTTCCAGGCTTTTCAGCTTGTGTGACCACATCCATCTCATCAGCCGTGGAGGCGGAAGCCTTGTGGGAACGGTTGGCACTCCAATCTCCAATTAGGTTAAAGTTTCTAAACATTCCAGCCCTTCCGGTCTTCTCGGTCTCTTGAGTCTTCTTGTTAGCCGCCTTCAACTTCGAATTCTCTTTCTTTGCCGCCTTCAACTTCGAATTCTCTTTCTTTGCCGCCTTCTGCTGCTGAGCCTTCTCCGCAGATTCCGCTGCAGCTCTCTCCAGGATCGCAAACAGCATCTCCATGGCCGGTACATAAGCTTGGAGGACGGGGAAATCTCCGACACGGAGGCGCATGTAGTCAAAGGCGTTGACGTAGGGCCCGTTGTACTGGGTGCTGGGCTTGGCAATGATCACACCGCCGGTGTCTTCATTCGAGCCCTCGAGCTGGGGGCTGCTCTCCTCAGCTAGCCCTTCCTCATCATCAGGGACGTCCTTGGTTCGCAAGCTGGCAGAGCCGTCCGAACCTGCTTCATCCTGGGCCTTCTGCGAAGACTGGCCGTTGTTCATTGCGACAGTTCCCTGGTAGCGTTGGCTGAAATGGGTGAGGAGGAGGGCCCGGGCTTGCATCTGACGCGCGACTTCCAAGGCTTCGGCGTACGTGGAGTGTTTCTTAGCTATCGCGCTCCCCGCCATGTCGTTTTGGAAAGTGGCTTCGTGGATGAGAACCGTCGAGCCGCGGCCTGTAGCTGCAAAGTTCTCCGAGGGACGGCAGTCGCCGGAGAAGGAGAGCTTGAAGCCATCGGGGTACACAAGGGTCACAGCCATGGATCCACGGCAGTGTGAAACTCGGGACGGTAGGATGTCGGAAAGGCCGATGGCTTCACGGAGAAGAGCCGAGAGGGGGTCCGAATCATCCTGGAATCGAAGCTTGGTTGTTTTGGGTTGGGATTGCGCCTCCCGTTGCCCAGGGAAGGTACCGTCGGCGCGGCAGTGACGATAGACAAATGATGTCTCGTAAATACCACTTCGAATCTGTTCGGGAAAAGCGCTCAGAGCCGTCACCTTTTGGAAGCCGTAATCCTCGACACTGGCATATTCCTCGAGCCAAGTAGTCATCATTTGTTCGCACACAACGAACAGGCGCTTATCCCTTAGAATTTTGGACATGTCTTCCTCGATCACGTCAGTCCGTGGCACGCCATTGGGATAATTTGCCTGATACCAGGCCTTGATCACATTCGCAATACCAAGGTGGTGGTCAGCGTGGAGATGACTGATCCAAATCATCCGCATATTCTGGAAAACTTCGCGCAATACCTTAGTTCCAAAGACGCGCTTGAGCTGCCCAAGAGTGCCCTCGCCGCAGTCGAGCAAGTAAAAACCATGGCCTGGTGCGTGAATGAGCGTGCTGGAGACATTTCTATGCTTGGATGGTACTGATGACCCAGTTCCGAGAGTAATAATTTCGACGCCAGCACCAGGAAGGTCTTTTCGGAATGCTGCCAGTTTATCCTGGAACTCGGGAGTTTCTTCCTGTCCAGAAATTATTTTCATTTGAGTCTCGACAGCCTTCGGCAACTTTTCCTTCGCGTTTCTGGGATCATAACGAGGAGTAATTTCAGATTCATCGATCTCGAAAGTGGGTTCCATGTTGATAATCAGGCCCGGCTCTAGAGGTCGCAAGGGGGCACGTTTTTTCGTTGGAGGATCATTGAAGAGCCTGGCTTGTGGAACAGTCACATTGTCATAGGCAGGCAGGGCATAGTTGTCGGGCCTGACCATGGCCATCTGCGCCGTCGACTCGGCAACCTCTTTCATGGCCAGGTAATCGGGACAGTAATCGGGGCTGGAGACCGTATGCGTGCAGTGCGACATCTTCGCGACAAATTCGCGAAGCTTGGGGTGATCTCCCACACCTGGGCCCAGGATCCAGATGAAAGCTTCCAGATTCAAGGCCGCCGTAGGTGAGTCCCACTCAGGGCGGTTGACCAGGTTCTCCACATAGGCTCGCGAGGGCAAATCTATGATTGCGACACCTTTGCCAACCTTTTCCTCATCAAGAACCATATCGGGCGTGATAATTTGACCATCCTCTGAGATTACGCTTTCACCTCTAGTCAGCGTGGCGTAGTCCGGGCCTCTACGGATCTTCAGAGCCTGAGCCTTGAGAGGGTCGAACTTCCCTCTAATGTTGTGGTTCCGGACGATGTAAGAGATGGCGTCTTCGTTCCAAGACACGGGAGGAATCCTCTCCACATTGGCACCAGGCCAAGGTTTGCGCACCAGCACGGTAATGTCAGGAACTGGCGTGCGGCCTCCAGGAGTCGGGCCGGTGTACCGTCGCAAATCCTTGGTTACCGGGTCCCTGACAAACATGAGCCCGGGCATCTGCACGTCTTTTAATCTAGTCTCATGTAAAGCATCCAGTTTCCATGTCGAATTAAACATGTTCGACACCACATTTTGTCTGATAACCTGTTCGGCTAGCGCCGCAGCTTTCTTCTCCTCGACCCCAGCTTTGTCCTCCTCGCGAAATTCCTCGTGGCTGCGCTTCCTTGTGCGCTTGGCCTTGGGCAGAGAATGAGACTCAGGGCTCACGGCCATGACCCAGACCTTAATATTCTGATCTGACCACGTCGGTTGTTCGTATGGGTCTGGGGAACCCCCACGCTGTCCAGCCAGGCTGTCCCCATCATGTTCCTGCATATACATGGGTAGACCCTGGCGGAAGATGAACTTGCGCGCAGTAGCCATCAGGTGCGTGAGATTTTTCCCGCCGTGAACCGTCAGGGTCCCTCTCTGCGCGATCCGCTTGCTTCCCGGCTGTGAAATAGGCAGTCCATCTGCCTTCCCCTCAGCGGAGTCCTGCTTCGGCCTCTGCTGCCGCTGGTCTGCCTCTTTCTTCTTCTGCTTCTCCGATAAATTGGCTGCTGCGCTGGCCAGTCCATCGGCTAGCGTGAGGATGACGCCGAACAGCCCTCCCACGTTGCTCATCTCCAACCGGCCCGTGAGGAAGATGTCGGTCATGAGACCGAACTTGACCGACGTTCCCGCGCATGCTCGCTGCGTTCCTTCGGCGACCTGACCGAAGAGGTAGCGTTTATCGGGGAAGTTGAGTACGACCGCGCTGCCCGGGGTGTCGGCCGTCGGCGTAGTTACCACTTGATAGTAGTACTTCATGGGATTGATTTTGTCTATCGAGGGGTCTGAAATGAAGCCCTTGATTGGGTTGTCTTGGTGCTCGTAGAAAATGTACTGGTGAGTGCTACCGGGATCAACGAGGCGAGGAACGGGGAGGAGATGCCTTGGTTCGACTAGACTTCTATATCTGAGGTTTGATCGAAGAGCCGGGTGCAGTCGTTGGGAGTAGTATAGGTGACGAGTGTTCCGGAGGCGTACGATGGAAGGAAGAATGGTAGATGGAGGAGATATCGACGTGAAGCCAACTCGTGGGGAAGCGCTGGCGGTCGGCCTCCTAAGGAGTCGGAGTGAAGCCAGTGTGATTGATTTTGGAACAAAAGCGAGAATGAATACTAACGAACATGCGCCAGACCTTTGGCAGTCATAGTCTTCAGACTTAAAGTCTTAGAACTAAAGAAGGACGCCGGGGGTAGGCCGATTGTCCGACTATGATGACTTGATTGATGAAGGAGGAAAGGCAAAGCAGAAATTCACAAAAGCTGCCGCGGCGATCGGGTCGGGATAAAGCTCCACCCGCACTGCTTTCCATCGAACTAATTGGCCAAGTGACCACCTTATCTTATGTACTAACTTAAGTTACGATACATACGGTAGCACCAGGTACCTACAAATGAAAATACTTCTAACGACGACAGTCCAGACTTCTTTCCAATCATATTTACAGTATATTTGATAGAAACTTTTGGATATGTTCTGTATTGAATGCCTTGTGTTTCCTTATCCGCCAGTACCCAGTACCTTGCATCCTGTAAGTCCGTCCCTAGTAAAAATCGCATCCAAATAGACCGATCCGTATAACCCCATAAGCGCATTCGAGACCTCCAGCATCTAGAGGCATGTAATGAAGGCAAAAAAAAAAAGAAGAAAGAAAACAAATGGAAAAATGGGAAGTAAAGGAAACCCAGATTGAGTGCAAGAGACTGCATTTCAAGCAGATGGTTGAGAGCTTGAGAAGAAAATCATTGACGAAAGAGAGACATCGGTGTCTACACCTGAGTATTTCGGAAAGCCAACCCACGAGCAGGCTTATATCACGCAAAATTGTAAAATTCAAGTTGCAAAAAGGGGAATCATGAGAGGTGAGAAGTCATCAAGGAAACACGGTCAAAGGCGGCCTCCATACTGTGGCAGAATTGAGCAAACCGAGTGTCACAGTCCTGAGGCTGGTTCTCGACCACCAGCTCAAAAGTAGCTGTCGGCTTCTCTGAAATACTCCCAAAGGAGATCGCGGGAGAATCCGAGGAAGAAGCACGGGGTGCATCCAGGAATAGGGCAAAAGCGGGATCGGACTCGTCAATCTTAACATTCGGGTTCTCGACGCCGACAGTGACGGGCCCCTTAGCGTCCACGGGCAGAGACTCAAGAACAGGAGCTTCACTCTTTGCACCAGAGATGTTGGGAAGGCAAGACTCCATGAAAGTGGAAGACTTTCCAGATAAAGACTCGGAGTCGATAATGGGCTCAGGGACCTCCAGTACGGCGAAGACCGAGGCATTGCCGAAGTTCATATCAATGCCCGAGTTCCAACCCGCATTGTTCATGCCCATAGCGGAAGCATCAAGTCCCTGGTTTGGAACCATGACCATGCCAACCTGAGAAGGCTGTTGCATAGGTGGTTGTGACATGGTGGGTGGTTGTTGCTGGGGTTGCGGTTGAGGGTGTGCTGATTGCTGTTGAGGCTGAGGCTGAGGCTGCGGCTGATGTTGGTGTTGAGGAAGTTGCTGTGGTTGCGCTTGGTTGGACATCGGGACACCGCCGACGCTGAGTTCGTCCAGAACCTGGCCGAAATGAGGCGAAGACAGGAGCGTGCGAACGAGGTCAGTCAGACGACCGTTCTCCTCAAATAGGGCACGGTTTTGAAGACGAAGCTCATGAGCTTCATTGGTTTTGGCGGCCACTTCACTTTCGAGTTGACCAATATATTCTGCGAATTCGATCAGCTACAAACCTTCTATTTTTTTCTTCAAAAAAAAAAAGAAGTCATTGGTACATACCCTTTCTGCGAGAACGGAAGGCACGAGCGGAAACCTTATTGCGGAGCTGGCGACGTTCCTTGCTGCTAAGCTTTTTGCCCTCTTCACTGGCCAGGAGGCGCTCATCTTCATCCATATCCTGCTCGTCCTTTTTGGCCTTGGCCATCTGAGGCAGAGATGAAGAAGGAGACGGCGAATCATCGGGGGAGCCCATGGCATTCTGGCGCATCTGCTGCAAAAGCCGCGAGATCCGCTCCTCTACCAGTGGGTTGGGTGGACGAGGAGTCTGGCTGTGAGGAGCTCCATGCTGATGCATATGCTCATCCATTCGACGCTGTTGCTGCTGGAATTGCTGCTGACGGAGGAATTCATGATGTCTCTGTTGTTGCGCCGCCTTGGCCATGGCAGCTTGCTGCTGGTGCATACCAGGATACATGCGACCCACTTGAGTGGAGGGACCAGCGGGAACAACCTCATGACCGCTCAAGGCGGTTGGATCCACGAACTGATTTCTGTTGCTAGGGTTCGGCGAAAGGAAGTAGGCCGAGGCGGTTCCCATATTGTCAGACTCCAGGTCCATTTCGGAAGGGTTCCGTGTCGGGGGACTGTTGAAATCCATCGGAGCATCTTCGCGCTTGATCTGACCACCAGCGAACATATCACCATTGATCGGATAGTTGGGGCTTGCACCACCGAATCCCATTCCATTCATGTGGTTGAATGTCATGGCATGAGCTAAAGCGCCCGGGGGCAGACCGGTTTGTTGCTTATGTTCGTCATACTGGTGACTCGGGGCCTGAAACGCGACTGGCGTTGGGTTTGTCGAAGCGAAACCAGCACTTCGTACATCGCCTGCGTTGAATTCAGTACTGGGCAGAGTGGGTTGGGTGATGAGTGCGGTCTTTGATCGAGCAGTTTCCGCGGTAGTGTAAGCAAGTTGGTCTAGATTCAGGAACGATTCAATGTCTTGTTCGTAAGTTGAAGGCGCAACAGCCGGGTGTTCCGCCAAGGTAGCCATGATGACGAAAGTGTGGTTGGTAAGGAGGAAGCGTGACTGTAGTCAAGAAGACTCGTTGATAGCGATGGGATTGGTGTCTCAGTCAGTGTCAGTGTCGAATTCAAACGAAAGTCACGAGGGTCGGATAAGGATAGGGATAACGAGAGACGATGAGGAGTAGTCGAGTCGAAGCGATAGTCGGAAAGGGCTCGCAGTCGAGAGATGGGAGAATGTGGTGTGGTTGGGAGGGGAGATGTGAGGAAGCAAATGGGGGTATTGTACAAGAGTAAAAGCAGACTCAATGGGAAGAGGAAGAATGGAGGATCAGTATAGTAAGGTAGGTAGGGGGGGGATGTTGTGTGAAGGAGGAAGGCGGTGGTGGTGGAGAGATGGGGAGAGGGAATTAATGAGGGATACAAGCAGTAGTAGAGGTTGGCCCGTCTATGGGGATGGATGGAGCTGGCGACGAAGAGGGAACGGCGCCAGGAGACTCAATTGAGAAGGACCAGGAATAGAAATCAGGTGTAAAAGGCTTGCGCGTCCTTTGATGACTCAGCGGCGCTGGTGCTCCGAGCCCCGCCCCAATTGAGATTTCCATTGGCTGGACAAAGTCAAGCCAGGGCTAATGAATCCACCCTTGGCGCTAGGCTCCACCGAGAACAATTTAGCTCGTTCCACCGTTACTCTGCTGGTGGTGCTGGTGGTGCTGGTGAGCCGTTCACCCCTAGGAAGGGCAGAAAACAACCTTCAATAATCATAATGAGGACGAAATAAGCTGATTGAGGTGAATAGAAAAAGGTACCGTATGCATAGTAAATAGGAGATCTCCTGATAAGATTGCATGTTTATTTTGTTTACTACGGTGCTTGTATGCTCGTTTTTTTCTCTTGCCTCTGGAATCAGTCTATCTGGCCTTTTGTCACATTGATTCAAGTCAAATGAGATCATGTCAACCATCGACTGAAAAATTGTCTGAAAGAAGGGAGAACTTAGACATACTCCTTCATTAAGAAGGAATGAGGGCCTTCCAGTGCGGGAGGTATGTGCGCCCCCATCAAGTTTTTGCAGGGCCGTCCATCTTTTCCTCCTCCCCTGAATGACTGTTCTCCCCCCCCCCCCCCCCCCCCCCTAACTCTCTCTCGCAACCTCGCGCAACTGACGGGCCACGGCTTGTCTCCTTCACATTAACTTCCACTCCCCTGTGCCACTACGCCGCATCCAGGCGATTTTTCCGATTGACTGAAACGGCGGCCGAGGTGTACGATCTCAATGCCAGACATGCGGTGGCACCAATAGGAGATCCTTCGGCAACATCGTTCACATTCTGATCCAGATGAATCCTGACTTATGACGTTAGTGGCTCGTTCGAACCAATGGCGATCATCCGTCGAGTACTCATGAAAAACTCCTTCAATCATCATACAGCTGTGGTGTACCGAGTAACTCTTTACTTAGTAAGAATCGCATTGGATAGATCGCGATTCCCAACACTTGCAAACCTATTCTGATGTTCGAATGCAGTGGGACGTCGTCAAGGCAAATCGACCACCATCGATGGGAGCACGGGGTGATGGGGACCAACTTCCGGTCTCGAACCACGCAGTTGAGGCCGATTCTGATTCCAACCAAGTATGCAACCTGTATATTGCGACAGCGCACCCACTCTCATATATCCTCTAGGTGAGGTTCATGGAGTGATCCAAAGAAGCTCATGAATCTCGACTCCCTCTTCAATTGTTCTAGTCCCTTACACGCCCTACACTGTAAGGTCATCCAGGGAAATGGATTGTGGGTGGATAAACAGCCCTGCTGGGCCTTACCTGACCTGACCAAGTGTCTTTTTCCCAGTTCCCACCGAGAAAAGCTTGGCGGGTGAACGCGGGCCTAGCGGCTTAGCCACTCTGCACCATTCAGAAAATCGGCCCTTGACGCCCGTTTCGGATTAGGGCTAATTCTTGCTCCGTTCGCCCTCACGTCTCGAATTCGCTCAACTTGTCGGGGCATGGGCGTCAATCTCGGCGCTATTACTTTTTACTGGCACCTCTCCCGTCGCTTCGGGCCCCACTGCTCGTCTAGCAGCAGTGCAGAAGCCAGAAAATCCCGCCTACCCCTTATTCTGGGGCCCGTTTCAGGCCTAGCAAGTCATACGGCCCTACTCCGTATGTTGTGTAGAGTTGTGACACCAGGCGCATCAGCACTGCAGTTGATTCACCTAGGTTATCAGATGGTATCCCATTCGAGCAGTCCTTCCCGAGCGTTTTGCAAGATCATATTGTTCAAGAGGCTTTTCGGCCGGCCGTATCAATAATCTAAAAGGTGCCAACCTGATACCACAGACCAATCTTGGACAAAAACTTCGTAAGACTAAGCTGACACAGTGGAATAAGTCTCATCCGTTAATCAAAAATCTATTTCCTGGTCGAGCCTCGAAACCGAAGAATACACAAACAATGT